CCCCCCCAGTCCTAAAACCCTAGAACTGTATTAACCTCAAGATTCCGGTCCCGGATAAATGTTGGCCGATAAGCGCAATTCCACGTGGTGTTCCCCAGCTGGTCCAGGATCAGTGCGTTGCCCCGCGTGACTAATATTTCCTTTCATGCAGGGTCTGCATCTTTGCGCTAAAATGTGTGCGTTTCAGTCTGCTTGTGCCTGTGTACCCTTCTGGAACTTTCCGCATTGTTTTGAAACGCGAAGCGTTGGTAGAGATAATGGAGCGTCGATAAAGAAGTTGATCCAATGAAATATGAGCATTTTGACATAGTTAGACACTCGAACTCGAAAGGACATTCAGGAAATAGGAATTTCACCTTTCAATGCAAACACCTTTTCAAACGAGCTCACTTTTACACAAATGCTGTTTCCTGATGCAAATAATCATATTTGATGGTTTTTAAAACCATTGCTCTACCAGAGGGAGAAATCTGAGAGCAACTGAATTTTTAAAATATTGATTACCGATAAGCAGCAGTTCGCAAGTTCATAACAGGTGTGAAATCTGGAAAACTCAGGAAAAGTTTGAAGATTAAACAGTTCTTTGTCTAAAAATAGAATGGAGACAATTGAGAAAGTCTTTATTCTCCTCGTAAATTGCCTTTGAAAAAATGAGAGTGGGTTAATTATAGTGAATTTTCACAATAATTGTTGTTTTTTGCAAAATGTCATTTTTTTGCAGTTTTTCCCTTCCTGCCTTAGAATTCACCTTTTTTAAAATGAAACTTTTAGGCTGCCATCAATGTAACAGAGAAATTTGCGAAAAAAATAACACTTTTCTATTGGCAAGCGATTACGCAACCTAAATTTAGAAAAGGTTTTCTATACAGTAGGAAAATGTTCATATTTATTTTCTTTTCTTTTAGAACTTATCATTACGCTGATAGGGTCTGGTTCAGGTACACTCTCACCAAATTTGGTAAGTAAATAAGGAAGCCCTAGGCATTTGAAATTCATTGTTTATTTTCAAGATGGCGGCTGATTCCTTAGCACCCGCTGTTGCTATGCCAAAATAAAATTGGGTACCAAGAGATTTTACTATGCCTAACTCATATGTGTACTTAGATTTGATCTCGGGCAAGAAACATAGAAAATGGTCTTCAAGGGTCGCTCCTCCCGTCAAGCCCGCAGGACCTGAGTTAATGTGCTGGTATCATAAGCCAATTGAATATGCATGACCAAACAAGGAATAGTGAGGCAGCGTGGTGAAATCAGGCGCTCGTCAAAAAAATGAAAGCGAAGAAACTGGCATTTTTCCGCAGGTCTGGGAATTTTGATCAAAATTTTGTATTTTGACTCTACACCTTTCGTGCTTTTGAAGAACACATTTCTGAGTGGACATTACTGAAAAACGTTGCTTAAAGGCATAAAAGATGTAATTTCTAAGTTTCCACGCATTCTCAAGTTAAGGAAATAACTAAACTTTGGCGGCCATTTTCTCACAATTTTACCTCTGAAACCAGACGACCCCTTCCTCCTTCAATCGCCAATATTTCGACTTGTATCCAAGATAAATGGATAAGTTTTTCATCAAAATCAAGGCAAATTGACTGGCTCTAGAATGATACCTATAACTCCATATGCCCAAAAATTGACGAGTGACTGATTTCACCACGGCGTGTCACAATTAGGGGTAGAAACGCAAGGGGAGGCAACTAAAACTATTCATTTTTTAAAGGGAAATTGGATGGGCAACATAACTTTGTTACTCAAATAAATCAAAATAATATTTCAATGACTTTGACTTTTGACCAAAGATCAGAAAATCTAAAACAATAAAAATTCTTTACATGCCCTTGGATGTTTGAAAACTAGGTAAACCGTCAGCTTACCTTGTCTCTGTAAGATTTGTCTGCATTGGACTCGCCAATAGTTTCACTCTCTGTAATGGAAAAATTACAAAAATGCTTCATATTCATTCAAACGAAGTGCATCAGAGTAAAATAACCCAATATGATCTGGGCAAATCTGCCCACGAGTGACCCTAGAAACCTGGCCAGTTGGGTCACTTGGTAAATATGGGGGTGACCCTTTTCAATTGCATTTTAAAGGATAGTACTTAGAAATAACCCGAGAAAAGTAAATATTTTCTGAGAAGAAATAAAATAAGGTTTAAAAAAAGACAGTTCTCATGCAAGTAGGGATTGATTATGTTTGAGTTTGACTATCTGTAATAAGCCACCGACTTAGTTATAGAAAAAAAAAAATCTGATTTCCAGTTTTAGGCCCTTTCAACACACAATGTAGACAAGATATATGAACTGTTTTCATTTTTTATTGTAGCACATCGTATTTCTGAAAGCTAGATTAATTCATATCTTTAGAAGTTATCCCTGTTTTTCTATCGTACCCCCTTGAGTGAAAAATAATAAAAAATTCCTGTTCATAAAATTGAACATGCAATCATAAAAAAAACCCAGGTTATGCACGCCAACTGACCAAGTGATTTCAAAGGGAACACTACCAGATGTTTTCTTCTGTACAAGAAAGCTTCGTCCCAGGAATAGTTCATTTTCTTATTGAAAAGAATCGCACTAAGTAATCATGCACATATATACGTGTCCTGGCGTTTAGGGTAAAAAGACTTTTCCAAGCACATATTGATGTTCCGGTTTTATAGGGATAATGTAGCAATGCCCACCGAGCGCATTTTGTTCTGCCGATTTTTGGCCCCCGCCGCGGGGGTGTTTCGTAGGACGCACTAACGCAAAGGTTGTTGTCTTCAACTCACTCTCACGCCGCTTCTCGTGAATGGATATGAATGAAACTTGGCAGCCAATCAGAAAAGAGGTCAATCTCGTAGTATGCAGTTTGACAACATTGTACCCATCCTAGAAGCAGTCGAAAACGTTTGCGAAAGTGGTTGATGTGGTGCGCTTTGAAGGTTTTTCGGAGCTGTGATTTGTCAAACCGACTGATACATTGTACACCATTTTTCTTTATTCCCTTAAAATTTCATGCTTCTGTGTTTAGCGGTTTTGGCGTAATCTTTAAAAATGTGGGAGTAACTAAGGAAAAAAGCGACATTGCCATTTGCGCATGCTGGGTGAACGGCCGGCGGCGTGGAAATTTCCACTGAGTGACGTCATCAGCCATCGGTCGCTACAAACGAGGCCCCGCTTATGTGAAATGGAAAGGGGGGAAAGGATACTTGAAAACTAAACGGGGGCCTTGATAACTTGCGTTTTTGTTGCATTTTAGTCACAATACAATAGATGTAGTCATTTTTATTTGCTTGATTGCATGACAGAAGAATAGAAACAGAAAAGCAAACATCTTGAGAAGTGGTATGGCATTGTGTTTGCGTTATGAAAGCCTATTCCCCCCTCTTGGGAAAGCACACATTTGGACTCGTCCTGTGTGCTCTGTTTGGGAAAAGTGAGGCATTAAGATTGTTATTAAAGAGTATGGTACTTATTTAGTCCAGTCTGGGAAGATAGTCCTGTTTATACATTGTTACTGTTCACGCGTGCGTGCGTGAGTGCGCACGCGTGCATGTGTGTGCGTGCGTGAGAGAGAGAGAGAGAGAGAGAGAGAGAGAGAGAGAGAGAGAGAGAGAGAGAGAGAGAAGGGGGGGGGGGTGTAAATATGTTACATTTATTGTATGAGTTGTAGCCTACACATGCGAAATATTCCCATGACTTGTAAACTATATTATCTGAACGCATCTTAACCTACTACACAATAGGGCACTGTCCAACAATGGATATACACAGAGACGATCTTATTTTCTATAACAAAGTATGCATGCTTTTACTAGTACAAAACTGGATTTATTAGTAGCTCTCTACTTACATTTTTGTGACAAATTGATCCAGAATATTGCTTGGCAAGGAAGAACCTTTTATGTTGCCAAGTTTCATTCAAATATCATGACTTTGGGAGAACATATGACTGATAATCTTTGTAAATCTGTAAAGAACGCCACTTTTTTACCTGTTAATGTCTTTACAACTCAAAAAGTATGACAGATATTAAAAATCTGACTGCATGACTAAATTCTGCATTAAAAAATGTACTAGACTGCCAAGTTTCATTTACATATTCCAAGAAATAGGCGAGCTATGACAAATATTGTCTCAAAACGCACCGAAAAAGGCCAACATTTTTACCTATAAACATCTTCATAACTCAAAAAATAGGATAGCTATGAAAAATCTGAAAGCAGGACTAGATTCTGCACTAGAAAATGTACTGGGTTGCCAAGTTTCTTTTAAATACTCAGAGAAATGAGCGAGTTATGACGAATATTGTCTCAAAACTCACCAAAGAACGTCCCATATTTTGGGGTTTTTTCATTATATAAAAGTGTACCAGAAATTAATTGATTAAAAAATCCTTAACTTTTTTGTTTATTGATGGAATTTAAAAATTCAAAAAGTTCTATGCTCAGTGAAGATAAAGCTACAAAATGCACATATTTGCAAACATTTTCTGGCAAAAAAAGGATTTTCGTGGTCATTGCTAGATAATGTAATCAAAATTGCTTCATTTCCTCTGTTGTGTCATCATAGTCTAACACTCTAATACCCCCCCCCCCGCCCCCCCACCACCTCTGGTCTCCTGATTTTTTCTGCAGCCTTTCTACTGATACTCCTTAGCTCCTCCTTACTGCTGTCTTTCAGCCACACCTGCGATCTTAGGGTAGGTAAGAATTAACACCTAGCCTTCTCCGATAAGGGCGAAAAATCTTGGAGGTCCCATTTGCAAATTGAGCACATTAAAGATTCCTTGGTGGTCGAAAATCTATAAGGGTAGAATTCGGCCGCCATGCGAGCAAAATTAAAAATTAACCCCTCCCAAACTGAAAACGTTAAAATTTAATAAATGTGTCCCGCATGCTCATATGACCGTTTGCAATTGCGAATGTCGTAAACCATTTACCCCCCCCCCCCACCAAAAAAAAACATTCATGTATGTAGAAACTGTACCTTCAAACCAAGGCTCCAAATGAAAAAGCTGAGCTGGAAGAACTCTCATTTTTCCCGTCGTCTTGTCGAGAACGCCCATGTAGTAGCTGTGCAGAAATAAATATAAGAAGGTTGAGAATGAGCAGATACAAAAATTTGTTTAAACAGACTTTACAATTGTTCAGATATGAGCAATCAGAAGAGCACATCATGAGATAGCTCACCATTACTTTCTCTACTGGGAAAGATCTACAAGGCACAACACAGTGCTTTTCCCCTTGCAGACAATTTCCGATATAGAGCAAGGAAACTTCCAGTATGTACAAAAAGCAGCATTTTTCATTTCAGTTATTGTAAATTGCTTCTTCCTTTACTATGCCATTTTCTCCACTTATATACTGTTGAAATGAGGCAGACTTTGGACAAACAATCACAATTGAAATGATCAGTATTCTACAGGGACAGTACACAACTTACTCGCATGAATCAGCCGAAGAATTTGCACTGGCGCCAAAGTTCTTTCCAACATATGTCATGTCATCCACTTTAGCCGTCTGTAGTAGTGGGAGAATATAGAACAAAAAGAAGTATCTTTTACACCCAATATCATGTACAAATATTTAAATATTACACTTATACTTGACTCACAAACTCAAGATGTTATAATTAAAACAATAGCAAAAAGTGAGCGGTTTACTCTATCTCTAAGTAAATGCTGTGACTCCATTTGCCATTAGCTTTTTAGCTTTTCTTTTTTATAATTACGTATTGTGTGCTCAGACCGGCCACAAAAAGAAAATAAACTTGAACTTGCTATCTATGGACCTTCACAATATACACGCTTTGCTACCCAGCAGTGGTAAATGTTTTTTGCACCTATCAACACAATCCAGATCACTTAGGTGGGCTGCTTCAACCGTGGAAGTAGGGCCATCCTGTGCTGAGTGGCATAGAGAATCTAGGCACAGAGACAAACTTACTTTGCATGTAAATAAACCCCCACACAGGGAATAGGACTCACAACTTCTGTGTAAGAGGCACAGAGCTTAACCATTACAATACAAAAACTTTAACGTAAGCTGACAAAACCCCATTTTTTCATTCACAGCAGTTTTGAGATACAGAGGCTTTTTGTCAGCTTAACCATTGAAAAATAGTGCTCTTCTGAAATTTGAATTCTAAATTTAAAAATCTAGTCAGTTTCCCTTTTGGTTTTTTTTCCACACAAGTAGGATATCTGATTAGGCTTTCGATTTAGCATATTAAAAAATTTGGCGCCAAAATTTTAAAAAGACGTTTTGTCAGCTTACGGCAGAACTGGTGGGTGTCTACTTACCACGATTCTTTTTTCTTTCCCTTTCTGAGCATTGGACTTTTTCTGTCGGTAGAACTGCCAGGTCATCTGACTACGACCTTTGACTCGCATCGGATCTCCATGGGAAAACTTCACTGTAAGAAATCAAAAGAGAATAAGGTCAGCGTCATTCCACAATTGCTGGAATCAGTTTCTAGGAGTTTCTGTATAATGGCAAAATTATTTGAATAAAAATATCAAGGGACACCTTGCAATGTTTTGTTTTATCATTTCATTTTGGCTCTTAGAAAGAGGTACTGGCCCAACCCTAGGCAGAGAAACCCAAAGCTCTATGAGAGCCTGGACAATCTGCAGTGAACAGCAGCCTTCACACTAGATGGGATGTCCATTTAAAGATGTAAAGATGAACAAGAAGATTTCCTTCCTTCTTTTAAACAGAAAGATCCCAGGTACCCTAGCGCTAGTTCTGATTTTGGCGATCTTTCTTTCTTCTCAAAACTTATAAAAATGATGGTGTCGATATTTAAAAAAGAAGTCACAAATTGGTAGCAAAGATCATCATTATAACACTGATTCATCATTAAGAATGACACATTTTTATGCACTATTGATCTCCTTTTCAAGTCCTGTGATGACAAATGCAACCTAAAGTCCTAAAGTGGTTAACCCTGAGTGGACAATGCAAGCGCCCAATCCATGAATGGGCGGTCCCAGCATCTGTTCAGATCCCAGAGTACACCATGAAGCTTTAGTAGGCCTACTGCTAGTGCAATATTTTACGAATCTGAATAGATTTATTTTGATTCAGAAGCGATAAATAAATAAACAACTTCCCCTTTCACTTTGACACATTAACCATTTTATGAATCATATTTTGTGTGTATCCCTGTCATGTATTTCATGAGATCTTGAAAAAATTCCATCAAAACGTGGCTGGGTTAAAGAGTTATAAATATCATGTAAAACCATATGGATTGGAGTGCACTTTCAACGTAATAAGAGAGGGCACAACCTTTTCCTTCTTGCCTAAGGTTGTGGTGGTGCAAATCTAGTGGTCTCCTAAACCTAAGGCTGTTCATACTCAAAATCCAACGTGCGTGTGCAATGACTGGGCGAACTGGAAGCGAAGCAGACAGGCAATTCGACCATGGTAACACAGCTTAAAAACAGCTTTCACTTTGACATTCAACCATCATCCGTTTCCTTGCAATCACAACACTCATACAGTTGATACAGATCTTTCTCCTTCTTGGTAGAAATGCGCTCCAGCAGTGCCTTCCATGCCTCCTCATCAAAACTTTCGACATCTCTACAAATACACATAAACAATGTATTATTTCTGAACAGTCTTAAAATCTGCTATCTTCAACGGGGCACAGGCAGAATCCACGACACAACCTGCCAGAATCAGCTTCTTTTTCTCTTCTTGGTCTTTAGCTTGCCAGTAGGTGTTTGACATTTTTGTTTCCTGTTTCGTTTGTGAAAGTTTGGTTTTGTTTGGGCGGCCCTCTGACTTTAGGTTGAGTCAGTCTGATCGGCAAAACAGAATTGCTTCTAAACTTTTCTTCTACCAGTTCCACCCTCTTCAAAATCATCTAAATCCCCCAAGACTTTAATTTTGTTGGTCTTGTTTCCCTCTCTTCTGCCCACCCTGCATCCCACCTGACAATGACAGCTCCTTCTGCCCGCACCAAAAACCAACATACTGCAATCCTTCTTTGTGCTTCTGTTCCACGCCGTGGCGGGTCCGCTTTGCCGCCTAGCGTGTGATGGGCTATGTCACTAGGGGACCCGATGTTGGTTCCTTCGTCGACTGCTTGGTGTGTGTGTGTGTGTGCCAATAGATCTACTAGTCTGCAGTTTAACTCACATGAAGCTACAGCGAGCACCTAGATAATGAGAGGCGCCTGGTTGCCGGTTACTGTGTACGTAGATATTGAGGCTACATGTCCGGTTACCGTGTGTATGACATTGAAACTGCACACCCAGTTGCCAGTTACCGTGTATAGACACTGAGGCTACGTGCCCGGTTACCGTGTACATATTATGTGACTTTGAGACTACACGTCCGGTTGCCGGTTACCGTGTTCGTAGACACTGAGGCTAGCATACGTGCCCGGTTACCGTGTACGTAGACCCTGAGGCTACGTGTCCGGTGACTGTGTTCGTAGACCCTGAGGCTACGTGCCCGGTTACTGTATACGTAGAAACTCAGTTTGATGGTTTTTTGCAATTAGGTTTGAAAGGCTATCTCTCCCGCACGCAAATAAAAAAGTAATTGTTTAGACTTAAAACCAGATGTAATCGTTGTTGGGGTCAAAACTAGGTTCTAGACATCTAGATCTAGACTAGATTAGATCTAATAAGTCTAATAATACCTAGATCTAGATCTAGAATCTAGATCTAGATCAAGATTTAGATTCTAGATTTTCTGGTGATCTTATACTTTAGCACGTTAAATTCTTCAATTGAGGACTTCCAAAACGAGCGACCACTATCAGATCTGGATCAAAATTCTATGTCATCAAGATTATACTCACTCAATGGCTTCCAAAATCATGATGGAAGACTGAAAACCACTGTTATAATACGATCTGTTCATGACAAAATTACGGTAGTTTGCACATTTTTAGGCCCAGTTTAAAGTTTTGAAGGTCTGAGTTGGGGATTAGTAGACTTTGGGAATTTAACGTGCTAAAGCCTAAAAGGCTAATGTAAGATCACCGATTTTCTCTGGTGGGTTATATTTCCAGAAGTGGCTATTCTCATCCGGGGTGAGAATAGAATTTAAATGATCTACCTCCCACCCCGGGTGAGACTTGCCAGCGTAGAGGCTATTCTCACCCGGTGCGAAACAAGACCTGCTTTTCCTCATTTTGAAATACTGTCTATCGGTGTGGATGATCAAATTGATAAAAGCCAAGAAAAAATTACGTTACAGCACAAAAGTAAGCTAATTTGATCGTCTTCAAAGATGCTATGGCTATTTCACTGTTCGAATCGAGCCGAACTACACGGGTCACCATTTTGTTTTGCCCGGAAGTTCTCGCAAGATCTACTCCTCCCCTCTCTCTTTCTGTCTCTTTCTGAATACTGTCTATCGGTGTGGACGATCAAATTGACCAAAACAAAGTTAAAAAATGATGTTAAAACACAATAAGTAAATTAATTTGGTTGTCTACAAAGATGCTACGGCTATTTAACTTTTCGAATCGAGCCGAACTACGCGGGTCGCCATTTTGTTTCGACCAGAAGTTCTCGTGCTACTCCTCTCTCTCTTTCTCTCTCCACTGCCCACAGACAAAATTGTACGCTTTTAGTAGGCTACAGTTGTAGGAAGTGGCTATTCTCATCCGGGGTGAGAATAGAAAAAAGATCTACCTCTCACCCCGGGTGAGACTTGCCAGCGTAGGCTATTCTCACCCGGTGCGAAACAAGACCTGCTTTTCCTCATTTTGGAACACTGTCTATCGGTGTGGATGATCAAATTGATAAAAGCCAAGAAAAAAGGCCGGCACTATTTCTCCGAACGTTCGGGAAAATAAAGCTAGGCACTATTTCTCCGAACGTTCGGGAAAATAAAGCTGGGCACTATTTCTCCGAATACTCTGAAATCACATCCTTTCCCGCAAATTTCGAATATTATATAGATCAATGATTAAAGTATATGCCTACCAAAGATTGTTCGTATGCAATATCCTAATATGGTTCAATCGGTCCAAAAAATGTCCGCAGTAAATATTTATATAAAGAAATGCTACAGTTCCAAACCGTTTTTCGCTACAGATATGACGTGTTGCCTATGAAGGGTGCTGCTCTTAAACTTAATGTGATTGTGTTGTGTTTACTCGTGTGCTGTCTAGATCTAGATCTAGATCTACAGAGGGTTATTGACAACGACACATAGAACTAGCATCTGCGTTTGTCGCGGCGTCGACCAATCAATCGTGGCTCGATTTTTTGGTCCCCGAATCGGGGAATAAAAGTCAAATTTAAAAAAAGAAAAAAAAGAAAGAAAACGAACCTCTTTACTTTTGAAAGAAAGTTCACCTAGCTTCACTTCGTCTCTTTCTCACTTGTTGTCACCACGTTGATTTGTTGAATACGTTACAGTTACTTTTATTTTTCCCTTTTTTTTGGTGTTTTATTTTGTTAGTGTGTATTTTTTTCTTTCTTGTTATTGTTCTGATGTGTTGTTTTTCTATCAATTTTTTTGTTAGGGAAAAAGGGGGGGGGTGTTGTATAGTGTAACGTCATTTAATTTGATGTTCCAACCTTCATTAGATTCTAAACATGTATATATATATATATATATATATTTAAATGTTTTATGTTAGAGCGTACATTCCACCAAAACCGATTACATGTACTGACACTGGCAGGCCCCTTAATGTGTGTGATTCCATAATTTACATGTAATATCCTGTACTCTGTTGTAAAATTACGCACATTTAGGGTTAAAACAGCCAATCTTTTTCGGACACGTGGACTCACGGCCTTATTTGTTAATTTTTGTGGTTGTTTATGGGCTGTTCTAATTTTGATTTCATTTGGTTGGGAAACCTTTCTACTTTCTTTTTCACGTTTTCACACTCATCTAAAAATCTCTAGACTAGCTCTTGAAAATTGAAACAGATATAGACCTAAAAATTTGCTCCTGTGTGTGTGTGTGTGTGTGTGTGTGAATGCATGTGCGTGTGTCTGTGTGTGGTAGTATTAAGTGTTTAAGTGGAGAGTGAGGAGCGTGTGTGTGTTTGTTTTTCGGGCTTTATGTCAGCCATTATTCAGTAACAGTTCAAAGTAGCCTATACAAAAAGAGAAACACAGGATCCATTCACTCCAGGGCTCATGAGTCGTTCCTCTCTTTCAGTTTCACTAATTCATTGAATTCCCGTGTTCTCTCCCGCGGCTCATCCCCGTCCGCATGATTTTCACATCCCATCCCCTCCCTCCAGGCACACACAAAGAAAATCTCACTCATTCCCCTGCACCCTGCGAACCATGGACAATAATATTAGTATTAGCAAAACACTGCCTTAGCCACATTCCTTTCGTTCGTGAGCTGTGGACCAGGCCAGGGGGAGTCGGTGTCGTCGCCTTGTAGTTGCTGTCGCCTGTGGGTACACTCGTACATTCTTCCTTTCACCTGCTCTGTCACCCACACTGTCCCTCCATCCACAGCTCAGATCGTCATAATATGTTCAAAAGTTGCCCACTGATCATGTTTAGTTAGTGTGTGTATAAGTTTGTGTGTTGGTGGTGGGTGTGTGGTGGGTGTAACTGAACGAGCCGTAACTGAAAGTTGTCTGAAGGCGGGCTTGCCATGCGGTGTTCCTTCCCAGACCAGAGGCAGAATGAAAGTTAGCGGCGAACTCTCGCAATAAATAGGCAAAAAATCACGAGACCGGAAGCCGGAAACCGTTCGGAGAAATAAAGATCGGCACTATTTCTCCGAACGTTCGGAGAAATAGTCACTTCGAAGAAAAAATTACGTTATAGCACAAAAGTAAGCTAATTTGATCGTCTTCAAAGATGCTATGGCAATTTCACTGTTCGAATCGAGCCGAACTACGCGGGTCGCCATTTTGTTTTGCCCAGAAGTTCTCGCAAGATCTACTCCTCCCCTCTCTCTCTGTCTCTTTCTGAATACTGTCTATCGGTGTGGACGATCAAATTGACCAAAACAAAGTTAAAAAATGATGTTAAAACACAAAAGTAAATTAATTTGGTTGTCTACAAAGATGCTACGGCTATTTAACTTTTCGAATCGAGCCGAACTACGCGGGTCGCCATTTTGTTTTGACCGGAAGTTCTCGCGCTACTCCTCTATCTCTCTCCACTGCCCACAGACAAAATTGTACGCTTTTAGTAGGCTACAGTTGTAATGGAACGTTTGTTCACAGCACAGAATTCTACAATTTTTCTGTTATCACAGTGTAGAATTCTGTGGTTTAGGGTGAACGCAAAATTTGGTGAACGCGCACCGGGTGAGAATAGCCACAAGACTCGCCTGCACTATTCTCACTCCGGGTGAGAATAGAGGTGGCCATAGCCAAAAGACTCGCCTGCACTATTCTCACCCCGGGTGAGAATAGAGGTGGCCTATATTTCCCTGTCACAAAAGTCGGGACCACCATATCCAAGTAGATCTAGTGCCTTACTGGTGAATAAAAAAGTCTCCCTAACGGCCAAAACCCCCGATCAGAGTGCGAGTCTGGAGCCTGGAGCCAGAGTAGCCAACAAGACAAGTCATGCCTCTGCAGACCACTGACCTGACACTACAACTGACTTACCCGCGGTTACAACTTGCGACGCCTCTCCATCAGTGACTTCAAAAACAGGCATATTGAAACTCTTAAAATCCAAAAGTTCTATTAGATCTATGTGCAAAAATGTAATTAATTACTTTACAACTTAAAGTTTTACAAAGGTAAGTAAGAAAGTCCAGTTCAAGTGGGACATAATACGGCGTTGCCACTACCACTTGGTCACGTTAGATCCATTTTTTCTTTTCTTCGCTTCAATTTCAATTTCATTATTTTTTCCCGTTCTGAATTTCATTTATCTACTTTCGCTTCTTGACAGAATAAAAACAATGTATGTTAAGCTATTCAGATGTTTTCCCTTTTTTATAAAAAAAAAATTCAATCAAACATCTCATCTTTTAAAAACATATCATAAATTGACACAAACTAACATTATTATTCTTAATCTATATTTTCCTCCCTCATTTTAGTTTGTTTTGTAACTAGATGTTTTGAAGTTTGCAATTTTAAAAAGAGCACTTATTGTTTGCCGTTTAGTTAGTAATTTTTACTTCCGGTTCTATTTAGCATCTCTGATAGGAAAATTTTATGCAGGCTCTTGACTTCGTTCAACTCTTTGAGGAATGAAGGCGGAATGCAGGTTAAATTGAGATGGGCTTTTCTCAAGCTGTTGATGCTGTAGTAATGGTGCTTTTAAATAGCGCTTAGGTACTGTTTTTGTGTGCCATTCACTTCTTCTTTCTCGGTGAACAAGTCTGACCGTTTCCACTTTGGCCGGATCAACAGGAAACAAACAGTGCATTGTTCATCCACAGTGAGTCGCCGTGTGAATACTACCGGGGTGAGTCAACAAATAAGAATGGTGAAGTACATAAATATCCCACCGCAAATTAACCTACAACTACGCACTGTACTAATGTACATTATATAGCTACCCGTGATGCAACCCAATAAATGAGGCTATTCCGTAATAATTAATGAGGGAAGCCTAGATTCTACTACTAGGAAGCTGAGTTGCCTCTTTTAGCCTCTAGACTAGACTGACTAGAGTCTGCCCAAGGCTAGTCTAGATCTAGTTCTTATTGAATTGTCATTGATGAACTCATGCACCCAAATAGGCAAATAGAAAAGGAAAATGCCTACACCCAAACCTGCTTCGGAAGGAATTCCGTAATGAGCAGCTACTAGATCTAGAAATCTAGATCTAGACTAGATCTATTTATTATTTGGAAGTGGCTATTCTCATCCGGGGTGAGAATAGAAAAACGATCTACCTCTCACCCCGGGTGAGAATTGCCAGCGTAGGCTATTCTCACCCGGTGCGAAACAAACCTGCTTTTCCTCATTTTGGAATACTGTCTATCGGTGTGGATGATCAAATTGATAAAAAAGCCAAGAAAAAATTATGTTATAGCACAAAAGTAAGCTAATTTGATCGTCTTCAAAGATGCTATGGCTATTTCACTGTTCGAATCGAGCCGAACTACGCGGGTCGCCATTTTGTTTTGCCGGGAAGTTCTCGCAAGATCTGTACTCCTCCCCTCTCTCTCACTCACTCTTTCTGATCTATCGGTGTGGACGATAAAATTGATCTAAACAAAGTTAAAAAATGATGTTAAAACACAAAAATAAATTAATTTGGTCGTCTACAAAGATGCTAGGGCTATTTAACTTTTCGAATCGAGCCGAACTACGCGGGTCGCCATTTTGTTTTCCCCGGAAGTTCTTGCGCTACTCCTCTCTCTCTCTCTCTCTCTCTCTCTCTCTCTCTCTCTCTCTCTCTCTCTCTCTCTCTCTCTCTCTCTCTCTCTCTCTCTTTCTCTCTTTCTCTCTTTCTCTCTTTCCACTGGCCACAGACAAAATTGCACCCTTTTTTTAGGGTAACAGTAGTAACACAAGAGCGCTGGAACGTTTGTTCACGGCACAGAATTCTACAATTCTGTTATCACAGTGTAGAATTCTGTGGTTCAGGGTGAACGCTACACTGGTTGGCCTGGGCTATAACGTGAACCCACACCAGGTGAGAATAGCCAAAAGGCTCACACCTGCGCTATTCTCACCCGGGGTGAGAATAGAGTCGCCTTTGTTATGATTATGTTAGGCCTAGCCTAGGCCTATAGTTATAACTCTTTTGGAATTTCCTTGTTCATTTTTATCCGTACAAATATTGATTTTATTTTTATATTCCATCGCAAATTATTAGTTTTGGAAATATTTGATGGTTTCTTTTCGAGCTATTATACGAAAGCCTACTTACTTTTAATTGCATAGAGATCTAGTAGGCCTAATTTCCTTACAACTTAAACTGTGGACAGTGGACCAATCCAGGGGGTTTCAGTTTCAAGGGGGCATACCCCCTTTTGTACCTCAAGGGGGCATGCCCCCCTGTTTTTCCTCATAATTTGATGTTTTACAAAATAATACGGTATTTAATTTCCTTGAAAATAAAATTTGCAACAGTTTTAGTCAGTGGTGACAGGTTTTGAATGATCTATAGCAAAAAAACCCACAACAATGTCTGTTTGACCCTCAAAAACAATGCATTTGTGTGGCAGTGAAAGTAAAAATGTACCCAAACAGCCATTTCCTCCCTTTCCTACTTTTTGCATTAGCCTATTAAAAATGATGACACTATAACAGGTGTATTAGACGCTAAACCGTCAAAACTAAGTCAACCACTTTTCGCCTCATTAATGGGTGACTGTTATTGACTTTGACAATTTTGACTGAAATATATATACTTTTAACATTTCAGCTACTGCTCTGACTACATTTCAACTACTACCATAGTCCATAGTTTCTATACTTTCTCTTGCCCACGTTTAGACTGTTATTAGTGCTATTGTATCTCAGTTTTTATCTCTTGACTGAGTGCACTGAGAATTTGTGTTTGATGTTATTGACTTTTATTCTTCAGGAAGAGTTTTTTTCCCAGCGAAAAATAAATTAGTTGCACCCCTGATTACACACTTTTTCAGTACTTTTGAACCCCCCTACAATGTTCTAAACATTGTGTAGATGCATATATATATATATATATATATGCCTAATCGCAACTTATGATGGCTTTTAAATGCTTTTGTTGTTTACTTAAAATATAATTTTTAGGACAGGGATCTTGCGATATTTAAAATGGAGCCATTTAAGAAAGATTATAGGAATTTGCTGCTTTGAATTTAAGCTGTTTAACATAATTATATACAGATTTTAAAATGTATAAATGTAAGGTATAAATAAGGCTTAAGATCAGTCAAAATGTAAAACTGTTTAAAAAAAAAAAAGCAGGACAGTTCAACAATTATTAAGAAAATTGCAACAAACATAGTTATTTGTATGTAAGGGATTGTGTTGGACAATTAACTGCAATAACAGAGGTGGTCATTAGAGCAGGTTCGACTTTTTTTATCGTTATGTTCAGAATTTTAACAAAACTAGTACACTTTAAAAGTTGTTGAAGGCACAGGTTACCTAAGTGCACTTAAGTGTCAGTTGCCGCAAGTGTATATTTGTGAGGTGTGCTAACAAAATGAGTTACTTCTTGGAATTTAGTTATAATTATGGAAATTGATACGTTAACTTTATTGGTGGAGTTTGTACAATTTGTTAGTTAAGGAATAACAAAAGAAACAGTAGATCTAGACTTGAACAAAATGACATCAATTGAAAATCTATAAATCTGCCCCCAGAACAAAATGACATCAATTGAAAATCTATAGATCTACCCCCAGTATTGATTTTTGGCTGATATCTACTTTCTTGGATTGCAAGAAGTTTAGTAACTCATTTTGTCAGCACGCCTCACATTTAAGAGGTAAAAGGACATCAACCTATCTTCTCATGCAGCTTTTAATTACCAACTTATTTCCTTGCCATATGCATTTTGCCATGAGTAGTGTGGTTGATTTAAAAAGTCCTCATAGACACCCACACCTTTTGGCAAAGGCTTATATTATCATTATTTTTGACACCTCTCCTGACATGGATTTTTTTTACTGTACACGTTGAGTCCAAAAAATGTTCTTTAAAGCTAAAGATGCTCTACCTTGAGTCTG